CTATCTGCTGCCAACTACTTCCTTTCAGAGGGATCTCTCCTACGGTCTCTTTCAGAGGCTATCTGCTGCCAACTACTTCCTTTCAGAGGGATCTCTCCTACGGTCTCTTTCAGAGGCTATCTGCTGCCAACTACTTCCTTTCAGAGCGATCTATCCTCAAGGTCTCTTTCTTTTCCAGTAAGTGCAAAGTTGATCATAATGGCGCCTCCGGGGAGACACATCTTTTACGCCTTTCTCCTTTAAGTTTAGAGCTCTCGAATCCGTATGTGAAGGTTTCTTATGAATTAATGAATACCCAAAAGGTACTCCAATAGAACTACTATAATAGATCACGAGTGACATTCATTTATCAAATATGAAAACCACTATTGTAATAGAATGTCATGCTCACATATACTGAAACCCCGCCCAGTGAGCTGATTTGTTCAACACGTTATTCTTAATCTTTCTTTTTTTTTCACTGAATCTATCGTGTTTTCTCTCTCTCTCTCTCTCTCTCTATATATATATATATATATATATATATATATATATATATATATATATATTTCTCTCACACATACACACATCTAATTCATTTTTAGCGGCCTCTGAAAGGAGAAAAGACTCTATTAGTTTTGTGTGGAATGTCTGTACGTCTGTCTCTCCGTCCCGTTTAGATCTCATAAACTAGAAAAGATAGTGAAAATCTGACACCATAATATTTTAGATCATTCAAAGTTCTGATGCAACGGCTACTTTTTTTTTTTCTGAAAGCGAAAAATCTAATTTTTAAAATCACTTATGCAAGCAGTTTGTTTTTTTTTTATAAAAATACACCACTTTTACAACTATTCACTATTAATAGCAACAAACACGGGAGGCACTTTAGAAGGGGGAGGTTGCCATTATCATATTTTTAACATATTTATGCAGATAGTTTTAGATTTTTGTCAAAAAAATTTTTATTACATTTGTATTGCTAAGTTATGTAATTTCTGTCATACTAACTACTACAATTATACACAAAAAGGTTTTCTTATTTATTAAGAGAAAAAATCTATTTAGTATGTATATAAGTTGGACATAATTTAAAACAACAATTAATAGGTAGTTTTTCATATTATCGCGTGAACTGTACAGTTTCACCCGTACGATAGAACACTTAACCAAAGGGAGAAAAAAAATTTTTACGGAAATGTTTTTTTCTTGAGGAATAAGAGATTGATCCTTTAAACAACAATTAGATCAATTAGATATTCCTTATAAGTCATTAGTTAGGCCAGGTTCAAATCTAACTTCACATTCACTTTCATCTATCCTTTGGTCTGCTGGACCGCTGGGGCACCACACAAGATCTGTCAACCTTCTTTCTCCATTCTTCTCTGTCATTTGAATTTAATAGAATTTCATTCTGATAATATTGAAACCTGCCTTTTTACCTGACTGGGTGGACCACTTCGGGGGCCGATTTTGAGTTTGTGTTTCCACACAAACTGTCTTTGTAACCTTGTTTAGTTATACAATGATCCGTCACATACTTGTACAACACGAACTTGGCGTTTCAACCGTTTGAGTTCATGTCCTTCTTTCGGCATAGATCGATTATAAAGTGAAAATGTCCGGCTTTCAATTTGTTCTTTATTATATTTTATCCAGCGATCGAAAGCAAACCTTCATTTATCTTGTTCTAACACACACTCAGAGATTAGAAAATCGACAAATTTCTTACCAAGTCTTTTATAAACAGTTGTTCATTTAGAGCTCCTTTTGCATTCCCGAGCAAAATGCTTTTGTTAAAAGAGAGTCCACTGAAAGAAAATTTTGCTCACAATTGGAAGAAAATATGCATTAAGTTCCACGCCTATGTTTGCGCGAATGATAAAAAGCTCACTTAACTTTGATGCATATATATATATATATATGCATATTGTACAGTAGTAAGTCTCGGATATGTTCAATCACATAGATTTTAAGCCTCGTTTCTATTACAAAGCTTCTATCAACTCACTCTGTCTGTCTGTCTGGTAAAAAGTTTGAACATGTTTTTTTCCAACTTCCTATTCTCGGATCAAGTTAAAAGTTTTCATTGAACCTGACAAGACATGAATCAATTTAAAAACAGCAGCCGATTTTTCAATTAATTATTGGTGACTTATTATTTTGTTTGATATCGAAATAAGGGGAATAAATGCTACTTAATGAGAGATGTGAATGTAAGTATGGACTTAATTCCCTTATTACGTTTTGACACGTTTTTTCTCCCACTTCCCATTCTCGGATTACGTTGAAATTTTGCATTATCATTCATTGTCGATGACAATACACGAATCACTCAAAAAATTAACCAGCTATAAATCGTTTAGAACTAATTAATTAATTTTCTTTTATATAGCAGAATGGGAGCGGTTCTTTCCTTAGATAAGCTTTGTTTTTTAAAAGTATTATTATTTCTATTGTTTGTTTAAAGTTTACTTTGCCAATTTTTATTTTTTCCTACTTTGTAAGGCCATGTCCTCCTATGTGTGCGCAGATCTCTGGTATCCTTACACGAACAGAGCTATATGGGCACCCTAGTGTTGACGCGAAACACAATTCGTTATAGATCTAGTATCTATATGATAAACATTAAAGGACATGAAAAACGCAAAAATTAACTTTTACCGCTTTTTTTCTTTTCAGAATTTATAAGAGTCTGGTCAAAGTCTATGAAATGACGGCTGATCAGAGTGCTCTTCCCTATCTCCCAATCCTTGCTGGCAAAATGGATTCGTTTCTTCTAACCAGATTTTTATACAACGCTCGGCCAGCTAAAAAAAAATGAAGCAAAGTTGCACTAGTGCGATGAACAAAAACCTGAAAGGTGCTTTACTATGTGTGCCAGGACGATTTCAAGATCATTAATTTGCCAGGAAGAACGAAACTTCATTTTTAACTTTTTTTTTCACTGTATCTATAAATTTTTAAATACTAATATACAAGACACAAACTATTTATACACAAAAGCCTAATGTATACTGCGGGAGAGAGGTATCTTATTTAAAAATGTATTATTCATATTGTGTAATATATATGTTTTCTGTTGTACGAATGCCACTTTGAATCAATATATTACTCTGTATACAAAAATAAATAATTGATAACGAAAGGTCTAAAACTAAAAATATTGCAAAAATGTAACTTGTTTTATTTCACTTTAAAGACACCCTATGCCATTATCATTAAAACATATATAAGTATGCCAATCATTTTGTATTACTTGAGTATCACCTTACAAGTTAGAAAATAATGCATTATTTTTCAGTAATATCTAATGGCATTTTCCAAATCAAAATTAAATATGGGTATTTAATGGTGAAAAGTTAAACTACAAACATTTATTAAGAGCCCATAGACTATTGTTAGTGGTGATTAAACTTTTTTTTTTCATCTTTTATGCTAATTTTTTAAAATCTTTTATGATAGCAGAATTGGGCAGACAACATTTTTACAGAATTCCATTTGAATTGTAATATATTGCAACAAGGGAAAATTAAATTAATGATTTTTTTTATTATAGATAAGGAAAAAGTTATGAAACCTGGACGGCAAGGTGAACACCAGCTGTCAAAGAGTTAATGCTGTGTTAGCAAAAACATGTTAACCCTTTTCGTTTCACAATTTCTGTATTGTTTTGCGTACAAAAGAAACATATGGCCAAGCAGTGTCGGTTTTAACTGTAAGCAAACAGAGCCTCATTATTGTTGGTGTTTATTTTTTTAAACTAAGATTTGTTTCATCTTAAAAGGGATGTACATTTTGTCTATGAGATTTGTTGAGGCCGCAGACGATTACAAGGGTTGTGCCCTTTCTCCCAGATTTTCTATTGCAGTACTGGAGCTTTAACAATCAAACACAACAAAAACAGCAAACAACAGGCAGACGAATTCTGGTAAAGGTGATTAACAGTTTGTTTACTTTAGACACCAAGCGCCATCATTCCTTTAACCTATTTCTCCCCCCCCCCCCTAACTTTTTGAATTTTCTAGAAATAAAATTTTTATCATACAAGTCTACATACACACTTTTGGTAGCCTTGACACCATCTCATTGTTATCGTTTACTTTTTACTTTTTGTGTGTGTGTGTGTGAAATTGTTTTTATCAATTACTATCTTTTTACAGGCGGGATGTACGTAAACCTGTTGCGTCACAATGACGTTACTAAATGTTTTAGTGACGTCATCCTATATTAATATACTTTCATTCTCAGGCTAAGCATTATGCAATTTAGCTTACGTGTTATATGTTATATATAACATTCTGTCTATATATATATATATATATATATATATATATATATATATATATATATATATATATATATATATATATATATATATATTTAAATAAAACTATATCGTATCGTCCATTTTTTTAACTTACGCTTTTCTGTGCATCGGCTTGGTTCCTGTGCCTGTCTATAAGGACGTCTCCTTTAGTGGGCATTTTGATACATCAATTTAATACGTAGATACAAAGTGAATATGTTGATTGTTCTAAGTGAAAAGCTTTATGTAAAGTTTTACTTTGGACCTAAGCTACTAAAAAGAGATTCTAAAATCATTAGGCCTATTATATTTCACTAAACCATGCTGAATAAAAAAACAACAGAGCTAAATCTACGGGCACATAAAACACACACTCTAAAGAGCAAACATTTACTTACACACACACATTTGTGCTATCGGGTTGTATGAATTTCACTTATTTATTAATATAGACACGGGAAGATTTACAATTTAGTGTGTATTTTTCGGTCTTAATTTAATGTTTTTCTATTTCTTTAGGGGCTACCCTATTCATTTCGCCTAGGACCTCCAATCGCCTAAGGCCGGCCCTGATTAATATTTATACACGCATACAAACACAGACAGAAAGAGAGAGAGACGGAGAGAGATTCTTCGCACATAGTACCCACACTTTCTTGACTGTCAATAAGAAACAAAAATAAATGTATCATCACAGCCTATTGCCTCGCTCCCCCCCCCCCCTTTTTTTTTCCATCATATTTTCAAAGTTTTTTAAAAACAAAACATTAACTCAAATTAATAATAATTAAGACAATGTTCTTAACAATCCTATTTTATCCCATCTTGAAAGTTTGTTTCTTGTGTTGCCCCAAATCCCACGTTGGTTGAAAGTCTGTGAAATGATTTTCTGTCATTCAAAACCAAGTTTTAATTCTGGCTTACTTTGGTCTATGTTTTGTTGTATAGATGTCAATCAGCCTGAAGCTTAACACTTCTTGTAAATGTTCAATCATTGGTTTACACTTTTAAAATTTTGCAAACAAAAAAATGTATGTCCTTTTTATGTATAAATATTGAAATATATATTTATATGGATTCACTTATCCGCTTTGATTTTTTTTAATCCAGTAAGGTGTATGTTTTGTTTCGGATTTATCAGTCTTTCATTTCCATGCCTTCATTTCCTTTGTATTAAATCTTCTAATAGACTTGACGTCAGACCTGTGAGGTGGTCTAATCTGTCTAAACAGGTTGCGACGTCTCTAGACAGTGTTAAGGCCTTCTATAATGATTGGTCTCGGCCTACTTCTGTCTCTTGGCGGACAGTTCCAGTAAAATCTCATGCGACTTTCGGATGATTGGATTTCAAATGTATTCCTCCATCAATGACGTTATTTTGTAAAGAAAGTGAATCTGGACCTTGATCTAATTAGATATTAGCTTCCGTTAAATAAATAACTCTTTCGTTTTATTGTCTGGCCATCTGAGAAGAATTAGCAACAAATCCTATAAATTTTAAAGTTCTAAATAAATACATAAACATACATAAAGAATTTGAGCAGTTCTAGTAAAATAAAAAGACCATGCGACGATGTAAAGGACATCTGCTTCTGTTGCTCCCGGTTAACGAAGGTGTCATGTGACCAGCACAACTGCCTTTTCTTTTCCCCAACTAATGCCAGGTGCCCATTAGAGCTGGTTGGACTCAGAGGCGTCCTGAAGATCACAAAAATAATAATATTCATCAGGATTCGAACCCGGGACCTCCGATTCCGAAACTGAGTGCTTTAACACTCAGCCTTTAAGTTCTAGAATCCAAGTTGCACTCAGATCAATACATTTTAGAGAATACAAAAGTAAAACAAATAAATAAATAACACTTCTATACTAATAAAAGGCAAAGCCCTGATTCACTGACTCATCATTAATTCTGCAACTTCCCGTGTAGGTACAAGGGTGAAATTTGGCAGGCGCATTCCCTACAGCTTACTTACAAAAGTGCAGCAGGTTTCGTTTCCCAATCGTACGCGTAACGGTCGTAACGGTCGACAACGTCCGCCATGTTGAACGTTCGTATTTATGGAGCCATCTTCACGAAACTTGGTACGCGGCTTCCCTGCGCTAACCGAAACCGATGTACGTACTTATTTGACGGTCGTAACGGTCGACAACGTCCGCCATGTTGAACTTTCGTATTTACGGTCTTCTGCCAAATGGAGAACCCCTTAAATCTCTGGGAAAAACATAGAGACAGCATGGCAGAAGATGTTAGGAGATAGACTGAAAGAGATCATGGAGGAACAGAAGTCCAACAGTGGTTGCCTATGATCTACAAGTGTCTTCAGTTGCTTGAGAACTACGTCATTGCTATCGGAGGTCTCTCTGTCGATCATTACGGGCTGCCTTCACCTTCAAGAGAACTGGCAGAGGTTACGTCGAATCCCGAGTACTTGAGGGAAACCTCTTACGACACTTCGGAGTTGGCCAATGTAGTCTCAGACAACGAGCCTTTGCTGAATGGTGACCAAAAGAGAGTTTACGAGCAAGTCATGAGGAGCGTTGTCTCGGGCACTGGCACGGTGTTTTTTCTTGATGCTCCAGGAGGAACTGGCAAGACATTCCTCATAAACCTTCTGATTGCGAAAGTCCGAGCGGAAGGTGACATTGCTGTAGCTGTGGCTTCTTCTGGCATTGCAGCAACTCTTCTTCAGGGTGGGAGAACTGCTCATTCAGCTTTCAAGCTACCTCTCAACCTCAGCCACACCACTGATTCGCCCTCCACGTGCAACATATCAAAGCAGAGCAACATGGCTGAAGTGCTAAGACAGTGCAAGCTGATTGTCTGGGATGAGTCCACCATGGCACACAGAGGGGGTGTCGAGGCTTTGGACAGGACCCTCCAAGATATCCGAAACACCACCACACGTATGGGAGGCTTGACAGTGTTGCTGGCTGGAGACTTTCGGCAAACCCTACCAGTCGTGCCCAGAGGAACACGCGCCGACGAAGTGAAAGCCTGTCTGAAGTCTTCGTACCTGTGGCGTCAAATCACTGTCGTCACTTTAAGAATAAACATGAGGGTTCATCTGAATGGCGACACAAGAGCCGGAGAGTTCTCTGATCTTTTGATGAGTATTGGTGATGGCAGCTTCAGTCAAGAAAAATTATAAAATAGCAATTCCCTCAAATCTCTGTCTCCTGGTGAAGACCTTGCAAAACCTTCGTTACAATGTTTATCCCAATCTAAGAACTCTCCAGCATATAGACGTGTCATGGTTGAGGGAGAGAGCTATCCTAACACCACGAAACGACATGACCACGGCCATAAACCACGTTTTACTCCAAGAACTCCCCTCACAATCTAAAACATACCAGTCTGTGGATTCAGTTGTGGAAATGGAAGACGCGGTGCACTATCCGGTAGAGTTTCTCAACTCTCTGAATCCTCCAGGCACTCCTGAGCATCGTCTCATTTTGAAGGTTGGGGCACCGATAATGTTGCTGAGGAACTTGCAGCCACCTAAACTGTGCAACGGCACCAGACTTCAAGTCACGTCTCTGCAGAAGAACCTCATTGAGGCAACTATTTTCACTGGCAGTGGCTCAGGAGAGACAGTTTTGATTCCTCGCATCCCCGTCATCCCCTCTGACCTCCCATTTCAATTTAAACGCCTCCAATTCCCAGTAAGGTTCTGCTTCGCCATGACAATCAACAAGTCTCAGGGACAGACACTGCAAAAGGTTGGCATTGACTTGAGACAGGACTGCTTCTCACATGGGCAACTGTACGTCGCATGCTCAAGAGTAAGCTCGGCGCAGGGATTGGTCATACTGCAGCCGGAGGGCCGAACTGACAACGTGGTGTACAAAGAGATCCTCAACAAATAACTGTGTATTGGTACATGTATGTTTCTTCTCTATTTCAAAAGGTTTACTTTTCTTCTTAGTAATGAAATATTTAAGGCAGTACATATGACACATTATTTTTACTTATCGGACTAACATTGCAAAAAGCCACACAAAAACTGCGTTGTTCCGGTTATTCCAAAAATACATGCGCTACATTCCCTGCGGTAACACTCCTGGCACAAATGAGAATGTTTTGTTGTTACATGTAGGCCTATTAATTAAAGCAAATTTGAAATGTTAATGCAATAATCCTCCCGCTGCAAAGCGCGGGTATTTTGCTAGTTTGTAATAATCTTCAATAAAAAATATATAACTAAATCTACATAGCAGAGATATGTCTAGGGCTACATTGATAATTTTTACGCTAAAAGTTACAGTTACAGTTATATGCTCTTTCTTTACTCTTCATTATTAATATCCCTTTTACATCCTTTTAGCACTAAAATTCTCTAAAATGAAAAGAAGAGTAAGCGACTTGAAGAAATGCGGTGGCGATATAATGGAACCTATAGAAAACAATTAAGGAAAAGAAGAAGAAATCAAGAATGCCATATTGAATGATTACTGATGCCAGTTAAATAATGAAAGGGAAAGCTTAGAAATTTGATTCTTAATGCTGAAAATGGAACAAAAAAAAATATTTTTAAAAATACGTCGATTATCAATACTTCCTTAATTTGTACGCCGGATACAACAAAAAGCTTGCTAAGACATTGTTGTATGAAAATCTCCAAGAAATACATTTAAATAGAAATTAACTATTTCTAATATAGGTCTATTAATATATAATATATGCATACTAAAATACTCAATAAAAATTAAATATGCAGTTTAATGTTAGTATTACAAAACATTTGTTTCCTTAAGTTCTCAAAGGTTTGCGTAATTCTGACAGACTTTTTACACAACAGCTTGCGGTGGTGGTGTCTAAAAATAGGTAACGGAAGTTGAACCTTTCTTTTGTTTCATCACTATACTGGACAAGGATTCTCCTAATAGTAGTTTGCAGTCGGATGTTTGTTCGCTGGTATGTGCGTTGAAGTGCAGACTTGGGTGTAGTCTCAGTCTCCAAAATAACTCTTCGTTTCTGATGTCTTGCACGTCTTGCAAAAGTGTCCACAGCTCCGCGAGTTGCGGGAGACGTATCCAATGGCCAACTAGTTTTGTATGGAAGCTGCGCACTGCAGAGTTCCTTACCGTGGCACTACGGGAGACCTAGTTCTCCCTGGCTTGTCACCAATCGGAGTTCATCTCAGCTGTTTTGAGAATGATCTTAGAGTTATCTTAGACTGGTCTTTGAATAAAACCTGGGACTGGTCTTTGAGTTAAAACCTGAGACTGGTCTTTGAGTTAAAACCTGAGACTGGTCTTTGAGTTAACATCTTAGCCTGGTATTTGAATAAAACCTGGGACTGGTGTCTGAACTTAACCATAAGAGTAGTGTTTGAGTTAAACCCTTAGACTGTTCCTTGAGTTAAATCACGAGACTGTTGTTAGAGTTAAAACCTGATACTTGTCTTTGAATTACATCCTTAGACTGGTCTTTGAGTTAAATCCTTAGACTAGTGTTTGAGTTGAAACTTAAAACTAGTCTTTGAGTTAACATTTCCAGAAGAAAGCTTAACTAAACACTTATAGTATCGAATACTTTGAGAGTCCCTGGAGGAATAGGTAATGAGTTGAAGCAAGATGCAGAAAAAAATAAGCTCAACCTAACTACACCACATGAAGCATGCAAAACAGGTGACAGGTTTCTGTGGGAATGGAACGAGCTGCCAACTCTCCTCTTTCTCTTCAAAACACACATATTTTTTTTTAGCAAACCTTTAACATCACCATAGCATAAGCTTCTTGGCTCTCCTCGAGTTGTCACTAGTACCACTTACCTTCAACATAGCACTTAGGATACAATTGTAAAGATTATTCAAGGGTATTTTAAAAAATCCCATCACTAGCTCTCTATACTCTCTACCTTTAGACAAACATTCAGCCAAAGTGTCTGTGTGTGTCGGGTGATGGTTTATTCAATGAATAACATGTTGCTTAACATTATAGAATTCGCCCAATACACTTATTTCAGAATGTTCAAATTCTCTAGGTATATCATAAACTCTAATGTACTCTTATATTCCTTTATCGATACAGATTCGACTTTATGGTTTTGTTATGAAATTCGTCGAAAACAATCGTCC